GAAGAAGGGAAGAAGTGTTTAGCAGCAAGCGCAGCAGGGAACGAGCACGAGACCATTCCCACAGGGAAAGGAGCTCTCGCAGCCGAGGAAGGAGGCAACGGTCGCACAGCAGGAGGAGAAGGAGCTGCAGCCACCGAAGGAGGAGCTACAGTCATCATAGGAGCAGGAGGAGATGTAGCCACAGCCACTGCAGCAGGAGCATAAGCTCCAGCAGAGAGAGGAGCTGGAGCAGCACTGAGAGGAGTTCCAGCAGAGGGAGGAGTCACAGGCATAGTCATCGCAGAGGCAGTGGCAGGAGCAGCGATAGAGGCAGGGACCGGAGGAGTCACAGTCATAGTCGACGATACAGGAGACACAGCAACAGCAGGGATAGGAGCCACTCCAGACGGCGCTAAACTCATGGATGACAGTTATCATTTTATTCATTTGTACTCACTATTTCTGGACTGACATTTCAAGTTCAGCAAGTTTCAGAGAAGATTAGATACTTTTGGTTCCTCAGTTAGGTGAAGAACTTTCAACTTTACAGACTGTATATGCAGGTGAACCTTAGTTGTTGCTGTGGATTTTTACCCAAGTTGTTCTCAGATTGATGTTGTTGACAACCTAAATTTTCACTATAATCAGTGTAGCATGTTCACAAAAGTTAGTGATGCAAAATATAAACTTGACCTTTTTTCCCTTTCCTGGAAAATTATTTCTGTGTGAAGTAAAATGTATAAACTGGATTGAAGTACACTAAAACATAAATCTAAAAATTAATTCTAAAAAAGTGAGTTTTAAAGGGGTGATTGGACAAATTTAAGTTGAAGGCTATATCCTGGTCTACAGGTTATTACATCGACAGTCTGTTCTCTCATTAAAACATAAAACAAATTTTTCCATGACTGTGACGCATCAGTGAGTAACAGAGAGTTCAGACATGATTATTATTATTTTTGTCCAGATTTGTAGTCAGATTTTTAGAAAATAAGACACAGGATCTGATATTAATATACATAAGGTTTGTTCTAACAAGCACTTGCATGTTACAGTAGCTGCCGAACACTGTAAAGGTGACTACCAGGCCATAACAAATGGCTGCTGCTCAATTACAGTGGGGGGTAGAGAATTCTCAAATGATGAAACACATGCCTGCTTTAAGACTGTAAGGTACAATGACTGGTTATGTTATCATTTTTTTTTGTTAAGTACTACTTATGTATTGGCTTTGTTGCTGATAATAGTTCAGAGAAAAACACAAACAGCTCTCTGTGACTGTGTCAACTTTGAATAACAGCACATAGTTTTAGTTAAAGAATTACTTTTGTGTACATTTCAAAGAACATTTTTGCTTTTGAAGTTGAATGACGTGATTTGATTTGTTTGAAGGCTTGATGATATATTAAACCCAACTCTGCAGGTAGTGTACTTGCTC